TGAGCATTGGCCGTGACATCCACAATCCCCGGGAGGATTTCCTGGGTGAGCAGGGCTGGGGGTATTGGGGGTAGAGGGGGGTTGGGGGATCTGGAGGGGCCATATGGGTAGGAGTGGGAGCTGGGGGGCAGAAGCCAGGTGTGGGAAGGGCGGGGGGGCAGGGCAGAGCAGTGGGGTGTGGTCTGGCTGGGTGCAGTTCCACTGTCCACCACTGGGGACCCCATAGCTCCAAGTGGTCTTATAGGCACTAGGGACACTCTGGCCCATCTTCCCCTGGCATTTCTATGGTCTCCCCTCTCTTCCAAGGAGGTAGCAATGGGACTGTTGGGTCCCATACATGTAATATTTCAGGCTGGAGGGGGTCCATGTGGTTCAACTCACCTAATGTGTTGTGTCCCGTATATGTGTTCAAGGGTCAGGGTCCATGGGGTTCCGGACTCACCCCGTGTGGCATGTGGCGTGTCACAAATGAGTACGTGTTCAGGTTGGGGAGGGGATCGGGGTCTGTGTGGTTCCATGCTCACCTGTGTGTCATGTCACAGACATATATGTGTTCGGTGTGGGGGTCATGGTGCACCTGGAGAACATCAACGAGTTGGCATCAAAGAAGCCTGATGAGCGCCACGTCTTCTACCTGCGCGACCTCACCGACCTCCAGCAGGCCTTCCACGACATGATTGGTATGCCCACTCCCCCGGGGGCCCAGGCATCTGGGAAAGCCCCCCCCCCACAGGAGATCCAAGCATTTGAGAGAGTCCCCATCACTCCCCCAGAGGACCCAGACACCCAGAAGGGCCCCCCCACCACTGTCTCAGGGACCCAGGCATCTGGGAGACCCTGCCCCCTACCTTCCAGGGACCCAGGGGTCCAGGAGAGCTCTCCCTACCCCCCACAAGGGACCCAGGTGTCTAGGGGAGTCCCCAACACCCTCCTGGGGGGACCCAGGCATCCAGGACACCCCCAACCATCTGAGAGACACCCCCTCTACCCCCAGGGGACCCAGGTGTCCTGGAGACACCCTGTCATCCATCTGGAAGACCACCCCCCTCTCTACCACCAGGGGATTGAGGCACCAGGGAGACCCCCCACATTTACTCCAGGTGACTGAGGCGTCCTGGAGACACTCCCCTGCTGAGCAGGGAGAGAACCCAGGTGTCCTGACCCCCTACTTCTTCCCACCCCTGCAGATGAGAGCGAGACGCTGAGCATGTGCGGGCTGGGCTGGGAATTCGAGAAGGCCAGGGACCAGCAGAAGAACCCCTGGCACGTGGGGATCACCATCACTGTGAGCATGAGCCCCGCCCCTTGCCCTTATCCCAGGCCCCACCCCACCCCCATGTGACACCAGCACCCTCCATCCCCCTTGTGTGACACATGTACCCCCTTGGGCCACACAACAGGCTCATTGTTATTGCCCATTGCCTGTTACCATTGCCATTATCTATTGCTATTGCCTGTTTATTACCATTGCCTATTAAGTACCTATTAATGACCTGCTAATTACTTATTAATGACCTATTTCTATTAACACCATTGCCTATTTATTGCCATTACCTTCTGCTATTACCTATCACCAGGGCCTATGCTAGTGCCTATTGTCTGTCGCTATCACTGAGCTCTGCAATCTCCATCCTTGGAGGTTTTGAAGACCCAGGTAGACAAAGCCTTTGCTGGGATGATCCAGTTGGGGCTGGTTTTGCTTTGAGCAGCACCAGATATGAGCAGCACCAGTTGGATGAGATGTGACCTCCTGAGGTGCCTCCCGACCCAAATTTTCTATGATTGTAAGACTGAGCGGGGATTGAATACCAACCTTCAACTCCCTGCAGGGAGGTTTGAAAGAGGATGGAGCTGGACTGTTCTCAGTGGTGACAGATGACAGAACAAGGAGGCTCAAGTAGCAGCAAGGGGAGTTGAGGTTGAATATTAGAAAGAACTGTCTCATGAGGAGGGCTACCCAAAGAGGTGCACGAGTCTCTATCCTTGGACTTTTGAAGACCCAGGTAGACAAATCCTTGTCTGAGATGATGTAGTTGGGGCTGGTCCTGCTTGGAGCAGGGGGTTGGACTAGATGTGACCTCCCGAGATCCCTTCCAGCATTCCCTCTAAGCTGTGTAATGTACGTGGCCACACAGGTGCGCTCATGCCATGCTGCCAGGTGCACTCGTGCAGCAGTGCACACCGCACAGCTTAGAGGGAACACTGGTCCCTTCCACCCCTCATTTTCTTTCTATGGTTCTAAGACAGGGGGATTGAATAGCAGCCTTCAACTTCATGATGGGTGATTGCAAAGAGGATGGAGCTGGGCTGTTCTCAGTGCTGACAGATGACAGAGCAAGGAGCAAGGGGCTCAAGTTGCAGCAAGGGGAGTTGAGGCTAGATACAAGGAAAAACTCTCCCTAAGAGGGTGGTGAAGCACTGGAACAGGTTACCCAGAGAGATCGTGGTCTCCATCCTTGCAGGTTTTAAAGGACTGGATAGACAAAGTCTTGGCTGGAATTATCTAGTTGGGGCTCGTCCAGCTTGGAGCAGGGGGTGCGACTAGATGTGACCTCCTGAGGACCCTTCCAACCCTCCCTCTGTGATCCCATTGCTCTACGCTCCCTGGTGTCACTGCCTGTTGTTTTTCCATAGTTTCATAGTATGCAGGGTTGCAAGGGACCTAAGCAGATCATCAAGCCGACCCTCTGCCACGGGCAGGAAAGGATGCTGGGGTCAAATGACTGTCTAGCCTCCTTCTGAAGACCCCCAGGGTAGGGGCGAGCACCAGTTCCCTTGGAAGTTGGTTCCAGCTCCTAGCCGCCCTGACAGTCCTGGTAGTGCCCCGGGGGAACAGGGACTCTCCCATTGCCTGCTGGTCCCCCTTGGCAAGTTTATAGGCGGCCACCAGATCCCCTCTCAGCCTTCTCTTGTGGAGGCTGAACAGGTTCAGGTCCCATAGCCTCTCCTCGTAGGGCCTGCCCTGCTGCCCCGATCATGCGAGTGGTCCTCCTCTGGACCCTGCTACCCATTGCCACTGCCATTACTTATTGCTCTTGCCTACTGCCTACTGCTATGGCCAGTGCCCTGGCTGTTGCTATTGCTTCATTGTCTTCAGACCTGCAGGGAGTTGAAGGCTGGTATTAAATCTCCCTCCATCTTCCCCTCTCCAGACCACATAAGCCCAGCTATAGCCTGTGTGTTGCCATTACCTATTCATTACCCATTAATGACCTACTGCTACCATTGTTGTTGCCTATCAGTTGACATTACCTCTAACTATAACTTATCTTTCCTGCTATTGCTGATCGGTTGCTATTGCCTGTTGCTACTGTCTGTGGCTCTTAACTATTCCCATTGCTGCTTCCTGTCCCTGGGGCACCATGTCGTGGTCTAGCTGGACAGTCCCAGTGTTCAGAGGCCGGTCCTGGCCCGCTGGTGGGAATTACACTGAGGCTCAATGCAGGGCACAGCCTGGCTGAGGCCCTGGCACACCATCCCGCTACCATCTCCACTCCCGGAGGGTGCCCTGGGATTTCTCTATGGTCAGCTGAAGCTATTCCCTATTGCATCTCACTGTTGCTCTTGCCTACGGCTGCAGCTTCATGCTGTCAAGCTGCCCCCGGACACCCAGCTACTGCCCCCAGCCCACCGCGGCCACAAATCCTCTGCTTCTAGCTCCCTGTTCTGGGGTTGCTGGCATGCGGGGCATGAGGGCATTGTTCTCCACCCCCTTCTACTTTCAACCCTTGTGCGGGACCCCTGTGGCACCCATGGGCTAGTGCAAGGCCAGCATCCCCTGTGCAAGGCCAGTGCTCCTGTGTGGCACAAAGGTGCCCCCACCTGACCCCTCCTCCCACCCCTAGCGCCCAGGCAAGGGCCGGGAGACGTGCAAGGGGGCGCTGGTGTCACCGTACTTTGTGCTCACGGCCGCGCACTGCTTCACCATAGATGATAAGGCCAGTTGGATCACCGTGGACCTGGGTGAGTCAGGACACCAGGGTTCTTGGGGCAGGGAGTGGGAACTCAGATGCCTGGGTTCCTTGCAAGGCGAGCTGGGGCTGGGGGTGGCAGTAGGGGGGCTGGGAGCCAGGATACCTGGGTTCTCTGGAGACAGGGAAAGCCCCAGACACGTGGGTTCTGGGGTGGGGGTTGGGGACAGGGGGCTGGGAGCCCAGATGCCCGGGTTTCCTGTCCTTGGAGGGGAAAGGGTGGCAGAGCCGGACGTTTGGGTTTCATGCAGGGGACCGCTCACAGCCAATGACGGTGGAAAGGCTGCACTCGCACCCCATGTACAAAATTGGGGCAAAGGCGAGTGCTGGGATCCCCGAGTTCTACGATTACGACGTGGCCCTTGTGAAGCTGAACAAGGCGGCACGGGTGGGGATCGACAACGGCGTGCGGTGAGACCCTCCCCCTCCCAGACCTGCTGGTGCCCCTCACTCCTGACCCACAGCCCGCTGCTCCCTGTTCTCCTGCAACTCACCCCCTTTTTCTCCCTCCTTTGGACAGCCCCATCTGCCTGCCCTGCACTGAGGGCACCACACGGGCCCTGCGCCAGCGGCACCCTGACACCACTTGCAAGGACCACGGTAAGGACCCTCACCCCCAACCTCCTCCGCCTGGCTGGTGCCCCTCACTCTCGACCCACAACCCCGTGCCCCCCCAGCCTGGTGGTGCACCTCACTTGTGACCTGCAGCCCTTTGCCCCCCAGGCCTACCAGTGCCCCTCACTCCCAACCCACCCCCTCTCCCCAACAGAGCAGATGCTCCTGAACCCGGGTGATGTTGGTGCCTTTTTTGTGAACCAGCACCCGCATGAAGGGCGCCAGGTGCTGGAGCGCAAGAACGTGCTCGTCAAGTATGGTGACAAGGTGAGGAGACCTAGGGGTCTGGGGATCAGGAGTCATTGAGCTCTGCCTCCTGTAGCAATCACCTCTAGACCCTGGGCTGCGACCTCTGCCCCCCAGGATTATGACCTCTGCTCCCAGGGCATGACCTCCTAATCTCTGCGGTCACGATCTCTGGCCCCTGCCATTGTGACCTCTGCTCCCTGTCACTATAACCTCTGACTTGTCACTGGGCTGTGACCTCTCTGGGGTCGCAACCTCTGCCCCCAGGCTTGTGAACCTTGCCCCCTGTTCTCTGCCCCCCCCCCCACCCCCCATCATGGCCCCGACCTCTGCCACTGGGGATAGTAAGGCCCAATCTCCAGCACCATGACCTCCGACCCTGAGCGCCACGACCTCTGACTCTACAGCGGCCAGCATGCGAGGCAGATGCCCTTAAGGCCACCATCTACCGCAATGTGACCCGGACCGATGCCGTTGTGACCCCGCGCTTCTTATGCAGTGGTGGCATTGACCCCTACGTCGACCCCAACACCTGCAAGGGTGAGGCCCTGCCCCCAAACCCC